AAGTTATTACGAAACTTGGCAATTTCATAACTTTCTGAACCCAACTTCATGTTCTGTTATTTTAAAATAGAGGGTCTTTTCCGTCAATGACTGAATGGTTTCTCAGCTAGATACCTACAAAAGATCTTTTTTTATAGCTAATATTTTTGCGCGTGAAAATAAGCGTTAATTATAGCAAAGTTTCGTACCGTAAAAATACTAATGATACTTGCATGTTAAACTGATGGCTGAATGTAAACATTAAATTTTGGTATGGGAATAATTTAAGACTCCCTGAATAAATGTGTTTGTTTCGTAATTGTAACGAACATTAAAATATTTCTGACATGTAGAAATAAGTTTACGATCTTGGACCTCGGATAAACAATATTTTGTTTTATAACGTTTTAAATTATAGAGGTGGATAACTACAACGTTGTAGATTAGAATAATCTGAAGTTTAAAGCCGTTAATTTTATTTTTAAAACGAATATTCATAATTTGCAGGTTCTAGTAAACTACTGTGGATCCCAGCTGGAGTGGAAATATGCCTCTGAAGGAGAAATCCCAACAGGAGCAATTCAAGGGGGCGCTACTGCAGATGGAGAAGTATTGTACATAGGAAGAACTTTGCACGAAGGAACTCTTACCATCGGGAAAGTCCACCCTAGCCATGGCGTTCTATATATTGCTTACGGTGGCCAAGAGATTTCGTACCCAAATTATGAGATTTTAGTTTTAAAATCTGTCACTTTTTGAGCAAGAGTAGTAATGTAGAAAAGGCGATCATGGAAAATATAACTTTCGTATGCTAGTAGCTTAAAATATTAATAAATGTATAAGATGTATATTTACAAATTAATTTATACCTTTTAAATTTATTAATTTGTATCTGGCTTTCATTTAATAATTGTTTTTAAAAAAATCAGCTTTCTAACTTTTTAAGCACAATAAAAGATAATACGCATGCGTTACTTACTGTCTAAATTAAATAATATCAACTGAACAACCTATTACAGCTCTGCTAATATTGTCTTCCGAAGAATAAAGGAATCTCGTCCAAACACTTTTAATAATTATGTATTATAAATAATGTGAACTAAGAAGCAAACACAAAACAACAAAAGATTTGTTTAAAAAAAAAAGATTCAAACTCTGAGTTTATTTTCATTCTAGGCATAATTCGTATTGCAGGAAGTACCATAGAACCTTCACACGGTATATTTTAATTGCTTCATATTTCATTTGTAATGATTATTTATCGTTAACTTTTTTTCAAATTGATGAAAATAACATTTAACGCACGTGTATCACATTGTTTACATTTTCTAAACTTGTTTGGGAAGCTATAATTCGTTGACAACGAAGGAAAGAGTTAAAATAAAGTATAATATTTCAAAATATTATACCTAACATCTTACCCATAGTATTATCCTTCCCTAATTGGTAATTAGGTCGGTAAACAAAATGCCTTTTCTAAAGCAGTTAGGAGAGTAACTACAATGGTTAACGACTAGATATTCTGTTAAAAAACTACGCGGTTTCATCTCTATACATACATTCGGGATTTTTTTTCTTAAAACAGCTGGCAAACTGAATTACAATATTCTTCCATTTTAATGTGTAGAAGAGATTTAGATAGATACTTCAGTTAAAACAATACAAAGACTCGTCAGTACTTTGGTTTATTACTTCTTCAGGTACAAAGGTTCTATGTAATTATTTCTTCATTGTCCAGTATCGGAGTTTCAGATTTCGAGAGTGTAGTATTAACATGTGCAATTACCCGTTTTATTCTTTACTGCATCTGTGACAATACAATTCCACTGTCAACGTCAACCAGAACTTTCTATCCTGTCAAGTGTGCAACACCAGGGCTTCTACCAAAAAATATTTTATAGTGAAATGCTTGCTCAAACTTCTCATTCCACCTGAAATTCATTTCAACTTTATTAAGAAGAGATAAATGTGAGTCATTATTTCAGAAGTTGGCCATAAACTGTTGGCTAATACGATGTGAAACAAAGGAAACTGCACACTTTTCCTTCGGCCATGGATGTGCATCCAATTTCACACCACTGTTGTCCGAGCTGGATTTGTGGAGATTTCTTTTCTACCAACACTATGATTAAGAAATTTCACCTTTGTGCACACGAGCACAACTTTTCACGTTTGAATTTTTGGCCCCTTGAATATTATTTTCAGGTTCTCGGCCACAAACTCAATGTGCAACCAAACGTAGATGAGACATCTATCCTCTTGCAGCCCTTTGATTGTAAGCTCTATTAACCTCTCAAAAGTGGTAGGTGCATCACACAGGCCAAACGACATGACGTGAGATTCGTACAAGCCATTTCGAGTGTTAAAAGTAGTTTTGGGTGTGCCCTCATCTTGTTTTACTTGCCAATATCCAGATGCCAAATCTAAGGTACTAAACCAACAGGAAAGACATCAACATGAGTTACAGCACTCGCCTACCTAAAATCAATACACAATCTGGGCCACAACTATCTTCTTGACAGCTACTGGACATGACCACTCTTTAACATCTGTATTTCGGCACTGACTACGTTCCTATAGCTCCATAAAAGCCCGTGTGGTGGTTGTTTAAATGGATGTGCATCAACTGTGTTTGTGATGTTGAATGACTGTAGTCATGTAAATTCTGCCAATAAATCACTTAAGTTTTGGACTCTGGGTTTAGGCTAGAATTTCCACTTTTGAACTCTACACGGATGCAATCCCAGTGTTCTAGCTAACATTTGTTAGTTCTACTCTGCTTACCATACCATATTTTAGCTGGATAGCCAACCACTTATAATGGCAGAACAGCACTAAGACTTCATTTCTTCTCTAATGGATAACTGCTTCTTTCTTTCTGGTTAGGAAATATAATATTGCACAGAACAAATGCACTATACATTGTTCATAGGAAACACCAATTGTGTATTAGGATACCCTGCAGTCCACTGTTACTTTGGTTCTTCTGTCTTGTGTCCACTTATTGCACAAACAAAACTCTCTGATAAGCTCTCCAGAGAACATCCATTTCTAGAAAGCCAATGCCAGAACTGAGGGCAGCAACAACTACCTTCATTATGTAACCAAATTCACCTAGACATGGAGTATGACTATTTCACACCTAGCTTCTCTCCGTTTGCCAGAACAAACTTTTTGTTGATTTGACCACGTGTTAAGCTTGTTCAGAGTGCCTGATATACAAAGAGATCTACCATTTTCTGTCTGCTCTTGCATCTACCAGAAATTCTAGTTATTACACTTGTATACCAACAGTCACAGTCCAAGATTCACCCAACCCTGAGAAACAGTCTGGCCACCCCACTTTTAGGTGCAAATTTTTCTTTGCACTATCTAATCAGTGACCAGATCCGATTTCAGATTTTTTATTTTTTTTAAGTTTCTGGAGGTACAGGTGAAGTATTCACTCTTACTCTTTTCTTTGGAAAACCCACTGTTATATTTGTCAAAACCAATTGTTAGCTCCACCTTGCTGCTTAGTAAAGTAGAGGCAGAACACCCAAAATTGTACAAACTCCACATAAGCAAAGCATGTGTTCCATCTCTTGTGACTAGGATGGAACTGAGGTGGAGGTACCGGTGGATGTTACAGCACGCATGTCATGGGAGAACTGGCAAAGCCCTGCCCATTCACTAGAAACTAACATGGCTGCATTAAAACTCTAGTATGCATTGACTGATTAGTTTACCTATGCCTGGTTTTAACACTGATACGACTGAGGAGGATGGCCTGTTGAGGTTAAAGTCATTGAAGCTGTCGCTACAAGCTGCTTTTATTCCTACAAGGGATTTAAGTTACTACTTCAAAATTCATTGCAACATAAACTCCCTCTTGTAAGCGAGAGAAGGTCTCTATCACACCCAAGTGGTGTTGCATCGTCTCACTTGGCAGGCCTTCCACAATTTTTTTAATGAGAATATTTTTTGGGATCTTCTGAGGACACCACCAGGTAGGTTTTACTTTGTAAATGGCACAAACCAAGCTTCTTGTTCTTCTTTTTCTAGCTTTGAAGGCAGTCTGATGGATTGCTCCGTTTCTAGTGTGTCAAAACTTTGGTGCAAGTTAGTGATGACTGTCTCGCAGTCTTGCTGCGAATTGTCAAGGTATATACAGAACTTAAAAAAAAATTCCCTTACTTTTTCCTAGCTTTACCTTACCATTCACGTTGTAAAAACGTATTATACATATATAGAGGACATTATGCTCGAAAATCACCGCATTAACTACTTTATATACTAGATGTAGTAGCTATAGCCAATACATTTCTGTTAGTGATTACGAGGTGAAAAAATATTTAAACAAATTCAGACTTTAGGCATTTTCCACCCCGACTTTTTCATATTTTCCCTGACTGCAAACACCCTGCTTATTCAAGTTCCCGACTGCATCTAGGGCTGAAAAGTCCAGACACAATACAAGGTGTTGAGCCACCTGCTCAGCAGTGCAGCTGTTTCAAGGAGTCACCTGCCTGAAACGTTAAGAATCAGTCCATGTTCTTCTTTGCTGAGCCCTTCGTACATCAGAGGAGTGATTTTCTTAGCCTCACTCATTGATACCCGTGGATGCAACCAAATAGCCTCGTTCCTGACCTCTTGATTGTTGCCTTAGGTTTGTGAAGTTGTTGGCTCCACATAGTAGTATTTGGGTGCCCGACAATATGAGGGCCTTCCAAACTTAGGGGAATGAGGTGGGTCCCTAAACTCTTCCGTGGATCACATCACGTTGGCAGCATGTTTCCTGGCTCCGGAAGACTCATCACTATCCACATACAGCACCTGCTGACGAGACATCTTATGTTGGCAGATGCCCATCAATGACACCTCGTAGTCTTGTGACCAGAGATGATTATGTATTCTGAATGGGGTTGATCTTGGAGTCTTGAAGAGCCCCCAACCCCCGAGTATCTCAGACATACAAGACAACTCCACAGTGACCTTCAGACTATGTCACCCTTCTACCAAGGTCAACTCTCACTAGAGGAAACCTACTGTCCAGCAATCTGGATGCACTAGATGCCAGAAGTTCTTTTTCTATTTTTGAGCTACGGTGATATTGCATTTACAGACTTTTGTGGCAGTGGAGAAAGTCTAGCATCCAGAAGAGGAATTCTACACATACTACCCTCTCGGATGTCATTTTTCCTTGGTGACTGACTCTTTCTCTAAGTCTTGTTGTAAAAATGCCGTTTTCTAAGAAAGAAGTATTTTAAAACATTTTAATGAAGAACTCCAAGTTAAAGTTAATACACACTCCAGTAATCATCAGTAAAGTCTGCAACAAATCGGTATCCCATGATTATAGCAACAAAATTTCCCATTACCTGTTTACCCTATGGGATATTCAGGTGCAATAGATACATATTTGAAAATTTACATGATAGGTCCACTTAATAAAACAAGTTATGGTATTACAGAACACTGTTTGCCTTTTAATATCAGAGTTTAGACAAAAGAAAAACTGAACCCTACACAAGGGTACAATCTTTATTAGCAACAAAACAGCATTTGTATTTGCTTATCATGGGGCTGTCGCTTCATTATAGTCAAGAGCAAGACAAGCTTGGATGAAACTTGGACACAGACTAAGTGAGAGGCTTCTATACAACATAAAACCTTGAATTTACCTCTCGCGACTGGCTACCACATGACTAGTCATTCTCATTTCACATAGGGGGCTGAAATTTCTGTATATTACCTGTACAACAAGTGACTCGACATCCTTCAAAAATGTTGCATGTACCAACGTTCTTCACAAAAACACCTAACTTTGAGAATGGCAAAGAAACAAAGGTAAATTGAAGGGAGATAAATTTCATGGTTTTCTTGGCCATAGGTTATGTGAAACCTGCACATATTCAGAACAGAAAATTAATTTAAAATCAAATATTAACACTATAAACAGAAAAAAAACTTGACATATTCCTACATGAGAGGAAATTAAACTTTATGAACTAAGTCTTCATTTACCTAAACTGACCGAGTTCAAGCAAAGAAATAAACAGACTGGACAAAATTCAATGAATATAT